CTTTATCAGGCATTACAGGCATGATGAAATGAAAATGAGACCAATCGACCAATCACCGCAGCTTAGTGTCACGCAAAGGAGGGGTTTGGAAAAATTAATCGTTGAGCGAATCGTTTGGGAGTCGTTGAGCAAGTAAGGTAAAAAATAAATGCATTTTATAAGACAATGAAAGTGTTTTTTTGACCTTGCATTAGGACTGGGTGATATAGCTAAAAAAATGATCAACGATATAATGTTTCATATCGTTCGGTATCAATAATTATTGACATTTTTTATAACCTTTTTTAAAACAAAAAGCAACAGAATTTTTTTATTTATTTAACCACTGTATTTTTAAATTAACACAATTTATTGAGACAAACAACAAATATTTTAGTTTTAACAATCAAACACAAAATAAAAATTAAACAAATATCTAATGTTTTATATGCAGATTTTTAATGAAACTTTTGTCTTGTCTCCCGAGGCCACAGGAGGGCACAATGAGCAAAATAATGCAGCACATTTAAATTGTCAACGCAAGGAAATAACTCTATTAAAACGTGCATAACGTCTAATTTAACTCATAACAATCAAATATAATTTCGTAAATTGCATAAACAATTATGAACAAAACAGCATCATGTATTTATGCATTGCTTAATCTAAAGAGCCGAAGTGCCATTCACACAGATTGCATTTAAAAACATATGAGACACAGTGAAAAGGAATAAACCTCCACAAATTCGTGTCTCGTGGGCTAGACTAACTAAACATTGCAACAATGTCACTTATATCATTATCACCGCATCTCGCGCGCCACTGTTGATGCTCCCTGATGCACCTAACATTGCAAATGTTTATTTTAAATTCAACTAATATTCATTTTTATTTACAATCTCCTCATCACAGGCAGGCACATCACTCATTTCAGCATGTGTTCGTGTTTGTGTGTGCTGTCTGCGTCACTCATAGCACGTGCCTATATCGTGCGCTATATCGAAAAAAAAATTCTATAGTTATCGAAGAAGGTGTGCCGTCGATAAATATCGATACCGTTTTATCGCCCTGGCCTAGTTACTAATCAAATAAGTAAATTTGTGATTGATCATGTGATTCTTATTACAGACAGTCAAATATTCATCCTCTTTGGATCATCAGGATTGACACAAACGTGTGTACTCATGTGTTCGTGTGTGCTGTCTGTGTCACTCATAGTACGTGCCTATATCGTGCACTATATCGAAAATGTTTTCTATCGATATCGAAGAAGGTGTACCGTCGATAAATATCGATACCGTTTTATCGCCCAGGCCTACCTTGCATGCATGTAAACCTGTTGTTGGGGACTCCCAAAACCAAATTATGAACCTTTCATTACCCATAAAAGGGGCACTTTAAATAAAAAAAATAAGACTGAGATTTGCTATATAGTTCATTATCGCTTTACGTGAGTGTACTGTATGTATGTGAAAAAAATTAATAAATGCCCTTTACAAGTCCTTAACTCTTTTTAGTCCATCTGAATCTGTTTAGAAGCATGATTTCAAATGAAGAATTTATTGATCTAAATGTATAAAATTTCTTTACCTGGTATCATACGTGTCTGTACCCACATCAAACTTATACGTAGGAGGGAATTTAAGAGGCCCCTCGTGGAAGCCTTCAAGCACAGTCTCACTGCCTTTAGCCATGTTCAGCTGCAAGATGCAGAGAGAGAAGAATCAAAGAGGACAATACTACAATTAGTGTCAATATTAATAATACTAGCACAGGGAAATATACAGATTAAACAAACATATTTATATTGCATTGTTTTATCAACATCATGACCTAAATTAAAGGGCACCCAAATGCCTTGTACAAAACAGTCGCTCTGACTTCAACGGCATTTCATATTTTCATAATATTGACAATGTTATCTGTGAAAACATGGTCTTTGACATTTAGAGGGACTCACCTGGTCTTTTTCCCATAATGTGGACAGTTTGTTATTGTCAATGGCTGATTTCACAACTTGCATATCCAGGTCCTCGATTCGAAAATTCAGGTCTCCAAACCAGAAAACCACACTGCAAACATTTGTCCATGAGTCACATCATACAATTTTCAATATAAATTTCAAGGTCATAAGGATCATTTAATTAACTTCCATCGTGGATTGCATCACCTTGGGCAGCAGGTCACATAATCATAACAAACACTACTGACCCAATCTCATGAGAAAACAACACATCTTACACATTGTTGAATAAAATGCATTTGTATAATTAGTTTCATATAAAAATATACAATTTGCAGGATAAGCGTAAATCTAACCATCATTAGAGTGTGAGCAGCTGGTACAATAACATACGAAGGAGACACAAATTGACCACTAATTTACCAGAATATAAAATTCCCAATTTCTTTGTTTTTGGCTTGTGATCAAACCGTACGGTATTTTGTAGTAAATTAATCGGTCTCTTGGTAGAAACAAAACGAATGATGCATATGCCATCATGGACAGATTGTGTGACAAAAAAAGCATGAACAGCACTGAACAACATACAAGAAACAATTAAAATATTTAGTCATGTCATTGCAATATCAAAATATTATTAATTAATATTTTATTGCAGATGCATGTTGTTTTATTTGAATTTTGCAAGAAAAACAAGTTGGGTCACAACTTTATGTCCAATATAAAATCTGGGACCAGAAGCAAAAACAGTTGAGAAATGGGGGGGTATATAACAAAAGCACCATCTGTTGGTGAGATAAATAATTATGAATTATAATAATTGTGCAAAAGAATTTTGGGACACTTTCTTAAGGTCCTGATGGGAATTAAATATAGTTGCAGTAATAACAATAATGTGTTTATACTTTAATTGTATAGCGCGTGTGTGTGCGTGTGTGTGTGTCTTACTCATGATCCATGACGCCTGTAGCTGCTTGTCCTTCAAACTGCTGCTGCTGCAGGATGCTTTCAAAGTCCTCCATGCGCTGGTCTGAGTTCTCCATGTGTGCAGGCAGATGACAGTTCAAGAAACAGATCGAATGACCAAACATGTTCATGCGAGCGCTGACACCTCCTTTATTCCCCTGCAGAGCAAGACGGTCAGAGATCAGTTCATTTTTCTAGACTTTTTTTTCTTATAATGTCCTGATCACCTTAGAAATTCTAAACAGTTCTGTACTGTTTTCTCGCCAAACCAAATAAGTGGCTGTGCAAAAAAAAAAAATTAAGAAAATTGAATAAATGGTTGATCAGCTACAAAGTGTCCACATTAATTAATGTTTTCATGTCATGCTGTGGCTTTTTCAAACATATTGGCTGTTAAAATAAAGCACATAAAAATGCCTTATTCTGCATGACCATATTTTAGATCCCTTAATCCTACCCCATATCTAATTTACTTAACAACTACCTTACTAACTATTAATAAGCAGCAAATTAGGAGTTTTTTCTTTCAGGGAAAATAGTGAATATGTGTTCCTTATTCTAAACTGTTACCAAGACTGCAATAGTATATAGATGATACTAAATAACACTGGTCACCACCACACTTTCAAAATGTTACACATGTAACAAAAAATTATTTGTTACATATGCAAAATGCTGTAGAATTGTTTATGGTAAAAGATGTTTAAAGTACTGCAGTCTTTTTGGAAACTGAAGGCCAAACTATATAATAAAAATATACACAGGGTTTGGTGGATGTGCAGAATTTTGTGATGTACACACATTTAAAGCAATGTAAATCTGCAGATCTTTCCATTAAAATCTGCAGGCAAAACTTGACTCAGACAAGCAGAACTGAAATGGTAAACTAATTAATCAAAATATGGAACAGGTGTGCGGTAACCATGGCAATCAGTCATTAGAATTGAGACCTCTGATGAAACATGCGCTGCTGTGCTGAATTATGAGACAAACTGAGTGAATGTCAAAATGTCAAAGCATATAATTTGTCAAATATATAATTTTATCAACTGTTTTAATTGCTTAAATACACAATCTTTATATCATTTGCCTTGTGGCAGCTAGAAAATAAGCCACAAACACTTCTCCCAGTTTCACATGTTTTTAGATGTCTTTCTTTTTTTAAGTATTTACAGTTTTAAATTGTATAGAGGTCCTGAAAAGAATTTGGACATACTTAAAATTTACGAATTTCGAAGAAACAAAAAAAATTATTTTTTAAAAAGTATTTAAAACCTAACTTATACTTATGTGAATTTTTTTTTGCTTGATCAGTGTATTTGTGATATTTATTTTCAACCCCTTGGTTTGATATTTTTTTTACTGAATGAAATGTATTTAAACATTTTTATATGTGATTACATGTAAGTGTCTGGGTTGATTTACAGGAAAAAATTTATTTAATTCAATTACATAATTCAATTATTACTTAATAATTGCTTTAAATTAAGCTCTCTCTCTCTCTGCAATAACACTTTTACATATTATGGATTATAAAGGTATTCATTATGCACATTGCGATGCATTATATATTTTCATTAATAACGGCAACCAAAGTTAAAATGTATTATGATATTTGCATAATCCTTGTTTGACATTTGAAATGGGTTGTTTTTCATGTGTTTTAATGCATTATACTTTCTAAAGGTGCAGCAATTAATAATTATAATGTATTATAACTTTCAATTATTTATGAGATCATGCAATGCATTATAAGGTGCATTACAAGACATTAATGCATCAAAACACTAAAACATTTTATATATAAAGGCTTCAAGTGAAATGTTACCTAAAATTCTTTATCAATGATTTAAGAGATCATTTGCAGCTTTAAGTATCCTGCAGTTTTCATCAAACCTTTTAGAGACTGCTTATGTTCGTTCATGCTCTATGAATTTTAGATGAATGTGACTTGGATTTTACTTTTTAACTTATTAACTTATTAACTGTGGTGTATAAAGTACCTGAAAGCCATACTCAAGTAAAAGTACAGATATTTTACCAGAAAATGACTTTGGTAGAAGTTGAAGTCACCGTTTAGAATATTACTTGAGTAAAAGTCTTAAAGTATGTGATATTTATTGTACTTAAGTATGAAAAGTATTTTTAAAATCTTAAACGTACTTAAGTATTGAAAGTAAAAGTACAAGAAAATGCAAAATGGAAATGAAGCAAATAAATATATATACAAATGTTCATACACAGCTTGAGTAGCAAGATTGTGTTCAGTTTGAACTCTTTCTTCCATTTTGTATTTTTGGGTAAGAATAAGAAGCACTTCATCCGGTACTTAGTGTCTTTCATTCCAACATAAGAAAACATTTCTGGAACACAGTTTATGTATCACAGAGCGGACATGGATACATTTAAACTGCAGTTACAAATGCATAAATAGGCCTAATGTTTTGGTTTTAACATACAACGTTGAATACTGATATTTGAAATAATTTAAAACATGGAAAAAAACAGTCGAAATGTGAAATTAAATCCGCCAGTAGATGACAGCAAGTGACTGTTAATCAGCGAGTCATTGAGATTCAACCGATTCATTCAAACGGCTGATTCATTCAGGAACAAAGCATTTGACTGTGTTAATAAGTGAATCACTGAATCATTTATTCAACCGATTCTTTCAAAAACCTGATTCATTCAATAAGTAAACACCTTTGCTCAGAGACGCAAAACAGTGCTGTGATCTTTGTTAGGACTTATTTACGTTGGCAAAATTGAGCAAAAACAGGCAATATTATGTCTCAAATGTAAGTCACTTATTGCTTTACTGAACTTAAACTGTATAAAATGATTATTAAATGTGTTCATGCTGAAATCTGCAGAAAACCGTTACTCTCTGTGTGATATAGATTAAGTTAACTATATCAAATTATAGAAATATAAAAACCATACGGAGGCATTTTTTGCCGTCTATAATTTAGAATGGCTGGAATTTTGAGTTTTAATATACGAATAAATCACATGCGTGCACTCGGTGTGTGATTTGGTGATATAGCCTACCTAATAATGTTAGATCGCACATCATTACAACAACACTTGCCATATTATCGCAGACGATGCTGTATCGCACAGCACACACTAGCCTCGACTTGAGTGGAAAATTAATCATTCGCGGTTGTGCGCGCACTTGTTTGCACGTGAGCAAAGGTGTTTTTTAATCTCGTTTTTTAGGAGTCTAACTTGCAAACCACTGATTTGTCAAACCTGCTTAACTGCAGTCCGTGTTCTTCTGACTTCTGACTATTTTGTAGTAAGTAATGAATATGCTTCGGGGAAATGTATCGGAGTAAAAGTATACATTTTAATTAGGAAATGTAGTGGAGTAAAAGTAAAAGTTGGCTGAAATATAAAAACTCAAGTAAAAAACCCAAAAAATACTTAAGTACAGTAACGAAGTATTATTACTTTGTTACAATACACCACTGCTTATTAATACCCAGTGGGAAAACAGTCTGGCTTTGGTAATTCAATCATTAACTTTGTTATAAAATTTGACACTGTAATTCTCGCTGCGAGAGGTGAGTTTATCATTATGACGGCATCATTTTATATTCATTAGCTGTTCAGCACTTTATTAATATTTCAGTAACGCACAGCATGAGATATTTGACAGAACCTCATTAACAGCTTCCTGTAACCTTTCATATCTGCACACGAGCTTAAAATAAATAGGTAGATATATCAGCTGAGAAACATTCAGATACAGAAACGTGGCGTTCCACCAAATAACCACACATTTACATCAGAAAGGGAAATATGAGATTGCACCCTGAGAAACGGCCATGAAAAGGTCTAAGCGCAGATAACGTACCCAGATACCGCCGAGGCCGGTGCGCGTGGTCTGTGTTTGAATGCCTCTCAGGAATGGCAGGTGAAAGTACTTGGCAAAGACCAGCAGCAGCATTCCCTGCATCCTCTGAGAAGTGACCTACAGACAGAGAGAAACACACACAGATATATGAGTCAACAGGAGATAAGCGGACTGAAAGTGAATTAGAAGAATTGGACATATTTCCTGCATCCAGCCGGGTATATGAAAACACAAACGCTTACTCTCTAATTTTAGAGAAAGAAAGAAAACTAAAACAATTTATAAATAGAAATTGTTTTAATTAATTGAAATAACCCTGAAATAAAGTATAAATATTAGAATCAAAACTTTTAAAAAATCATAAATGTTGCCTTGTCAATTATCTGAAATAAAATACATTTGAATACTAAAATTAGTAAAGCTAAAAGCAAAGTAAAGATAAAGCTAAATATAGATTAACATAAAATAATAACATTGACAAAAACATTAATCATAAAAAAAACATTGATTAAAAGATTCAAATTAAAATTTAAAATTAAAATTAAAATGACTGAAAATATAAAAATAAATGCAAATTCATAATATTAATAAATTCTATAATAGTGTAAAATGACATTAAAATAATGCAAATTGTTTATAAACTGTGCAGTATGTATTCCAGTTTTTGTATGAATAGAATATGCTTGTTCATAATGCAAGTGTGTACACTGTATGCAATACTATTGTTAACTAGAACCATTTTAAAAAATCATTACGTATTTTATCTCAGCTATAGCTGCCAGGGCAGCATGTCTCGTTTTCATTTAGTTTAACTTGAAGTACCAAATAAACAAAACTAAATACAATAAAACTAATAAATAAAATTAATACAAAATATGTAGATATAAAAAAAATTATATCAATCACAGTTGTAAGTAATAATGACAGCACAATAAAATGTCAATAAAGGTAAAGTGACAACAGAAAAATACAAAAAAACATTCTAATTCAAAATATTACCAAAAACGACAATAGTACATCAATAAAAAGATGCCGTGGGCTCCACTGGACCTTCCACTTCCAGTTTTGAGCAGAAGTGATTTCAAATGGGATTTTTAACATCCTTCCAGAGAGAGATGTTCAGAATTCCAGCCTACTGCCTACCCTGTAGTACATACTTTATTGTAGAAACACTATATACAGCATAGTATATAGTAAGCAAAAATGTATAGTAAGCAACATTGTTTTCAAAGATTATTTTGCCACACATAAAATAAAGCCAGATAAAATGAAGAGGAGTCTAACTGATAGAAAATAGAAACATGAGCCGCAAGACCAGCAAAGAGATTTTCATCCTCAGCCACTCAGTCACTGTTACATAATGTGACCCCTGAAGCTCTAATGACAACTGTATGAATGTGTGTGTGTGTGTGTGTGTTTAAAGGGAACATTACTGACCAGTACATATCCAAAGGGGCTGAGAGCGTCCATGCAGACCTCGCTCCACTGGTCAGTGAAAAGAACATCTTTCAGTCGTTTGTTGATCATTGAGTTCACTTCCTGTAAGCTGAGACAGGGTGCAAGAAAATACAGACATGAGATGAAGCTGAAATTAAAGGACAGAAAAATATCAGAATGGAGTGGTAGAACAGACCTCAAGGCAGGCGGTAGATTATACTGTATCTCTAGTGTGCTTATGTAGGTCATGTCCTAGATTATGACCTTCGCATTATAACGTACTAACTCCATTTATTCTGATGAAAACTTGTTTTACAAAAATTGACAGTGTATTATTTTGATTGTCTAGATCAGGGTTCCTCAAATCTTGCCCTGGAGGGCCAATGCGCTGCAGAGTTTAGCTCCAACCCTGATTAAACTCACATACCTGTGATTTTCTAATGATCCTGAAGACATTGATTAGCATGGTCAGGTGTGTTTGATTAGGGTTAGAGCTAAACTCTGCAGGAAAGTGGATCTCGTGGGCCAGATTTGAGGATCCCTGGTCTAGATTATCTTCTCTCCAGAGTATGGGTCTGAGTTCCTACTGATGTCATTAACAGGATACTAAATAAATTATAAAATCTCATGATCTGATGTTGCCGGTATTGAAATTAATATATCATGCTTTCCTTGTCTATGAATCATGGAATTTGAAGCCCGTTTCATGAAGTCTTCTTGACCACATACCCAGTAAGACTTTGTCTCTTTTTAAAGAAATGAATACTGTAATTCAGCAAAGGTGCATGTTATGCTGTTATTTAGAATGTTACATTCATTGTAGAATCTTGAAACAACTGTTTTCAACATCTGCCATAATCAGAAATGTTTCTTGACGATGATTTCTGAAAGATCATGTGAAAATTCAGCTTTACATCACAGAAATAAATTAAACTTTCAACTGGAAATGTAGTTCAATCATTTGTATTTCCTTATGGTTACACTGATTGACCTTGTCAAATTAAATATTTCAGTCTGTTTTGGAGGTAGAAAATCACAGTGATTCTTGTTCTTTTAAAATAAAATACTAAAAGGTTTTGTGGTGCAGTGAAATTGTTATTATTGTCCGTTTAAACTATTCAACCAAAAACTATTTGTAAAAGGATTGAATGATTGTTACAGAGGACATGATTTGAAGGAGAAAACAATACCGTTTCACTAATATGAAAATATTATAATAATATGAGGCGTAAATATATTTTAAAAAAATTATATAACCTACATTTTCAAAAGGTTACTGTTGAAAATTCAACAGTAACCTTTGTAAATAACAAAAAAAAAGAAATTTTCTGAGAAATTGTCAGTAGGAACATTTCCAAGTATGCATGACTAATATGAAAATATTACAATAATATGAGGCGTAAATATATTTTTAAAAAATTATATAACCTACATTTTCAAAAGGTTACTGTTGAAAATTCAACAGTAACCTTTGTAAATAACAAAAAAAAAAGAAATTTTCTGAGAAATTGTCAGTAGGAACATTTCCAAGTATGCATCTGTGATCACTTTTCATGCTGAGCACCTTTCCTTTAGAAAAGCAGCGGCTCTCAATGGAAATCTCACCCTATAATATACATGTCTGTGTTCCCATCACCAACATTCAGCCCCAGTAATGAAGTGACGTCGTCAGGAGGCATGGCTGAGCCCACGTTCCACGTGATAATGTGCACCCTTTTGGCAGAAAGAGACATTAGAGAACAGCAGTCATCTGTGTACACATGTTCACATACTGTCAGTCACTACTGCTGGTTTTTCTTAGGCACCGCATCCAACAGCATTATTATGCAATTGTATAATAAGGTGAATGTGAGTGTTTTCTCCTGTAATTCACTGCTGAATATCTTTAGTTGGGACAGTGAAATAACAAAGCAGTGACTGTTGACACTGACAGATTGTGGGTTTGCCCTATAACTCATCTTTTCAATTTACAAACAGCAAGCAAAGACTGCGCAAACAAGTATCCTTGCGGCATATTAGTGAATAAACAAATTAAAGAAATGGAAATGGAAAGGGAATAAGAACATCATCAGGACCATTGCAAAGCAACCTCGTTTTGTCGTGTCACATTAAATGTGTTAGTAAATCATCTCAATGAAGATCCAAACAATGCTAGGAATATAAATATTCTGTATATTTTTCAAGAATTCCACAAGCATCCCTCCACTATTCAGTAGGCTATCAACCTTTATTTCAAAGAGAGAGAAGAATCTCATATTTCTATAAATATAAAATATACATAAATTTCAAAAGAATTGTTCACCCAAAAAAGAGAATGTACTCAGCCTCAGGGCATCCAAGATGTAGATGAGTTTGTTTCTTCATCAGAAGAGATTTGGAGAAATGTAGCATTACATCACTTGCTCACCAGTGGATCCTCTGCAGTGAATGGGTGCCGTCAGAATGAGAGTCCAAACAGCTGATAAAAATATCACAATAATCCACGAGTAATCCACATGACTCCAGTCCATCGATTAACATATGTGAAGTGAAAAGCTGAGTGTTTGTAAGAAATAAATAAATCATTAAGACATTTTGCTTCCATCTAAAATATGAGTCCACTATATACATAATACTGCTTTCTCCCATGGAAAAAAATAGTCTCGTCTGAATCAGGAGAGAAATATGCAAAGATCAAGCACCGTTTAAAAGTGAAAAACAGTCCAAAATGGTTGTAAACAATCTGAGATGACAACAGGGGATGGACTTTTTTAAACTGGAGGAAGCGTTATTATGGACTCTCATACAAAACTCTCATTTTGGCCAAAAGCAATGGTTAATATGGTTAATAAAATAGTTAAAATGTCTTAATGATGGTTTTTTTTCTTCTTCACACAAACACTCAGCTTTTCACTTCACATATGTTAACTGATGGATTGGAGTGGTGTGGATTACTTGTGGATTATTGTGATGTTTTTATCAGCTGTTTGGACTCTCATTCTGACGGCACCCATTCACTGCAGAGGATCCGTTGGTGAGCAAGTGATGGAATGCTACATTTCTCTAAATATGTTCTGATGAAGAAACAAACTCATTTAAAACTTTGATGGCCTGAGGATGGGCACATTTTTAGCAAATTTTCATTTTTACCTTCTCAAATTTATTTAAAATTCAATTAAGCACACTGGACTGCTGCAGGTTAATGGGGAAAAAGACTGTTGAAAAGTTTTGGGGTCAGTAATTTTCTTTTTTTATACGTACAGGAAATCGATACTTTTATTGAGCAAGAATGTAATAAATTGATCAAAAGTGAAAGTAAAGATGTGTTGTAAGTAGAAGATTTCAAAAACATTTTAAAAAATCTTCCCAACCCCAAACATTTAAATAGAAATGTATATATTCATTCATTCAGGATCCACATTTGCAAAGGAAAATATACAGGCTATTTAAGCAAATTCAAAATTCAAGATAATTCACATTAATGTCCAAAAGATGTTTTATTGTTTTAAAAAGTAAAAGTAGCAATAATCTGTGTTCTCATGACTAACTGTATGCACTATATGTAGATGCTGTGAATGCTGTAAGCCATAATAATGTGGAATGTGGAAGTAGATGCGCAGGTAGGCTACAGTTCAGCTAACAGTCATGCCCAAACCTGCACTTGTGCACTTGGCAATCTAAAGTTTAGTTCATACTAAAGTAAAACACATTTGAACTGGCTAAACAAGGCCTTTAAGTTCACTTGTTCGCCCAAAAGCAGAATACAGTGCAACAGTTGGCTTCCAGCAGTAAAATATTCCATCCACTTTCACCAAAATTGATTTTTAAAGGGGTCATGAATTGAGAAATAAAAATTCCCTGGATGTATTGACATGTAAGAGGTAATTTTACTATAAAAACATCCTGTGAGTTTCAGAGCTCAAAATTTCCTTGTTAGTCCAAAAACAGCTTTTATTGAAACCAAGCTCAGAAAATGACTCATTTCAGATTTTGTCACATTATGACGTAATAGTGCAATGAACATCAAGATGTGAACCTGACAGTAATATCACAACATGTAAGTAAGTATTAGTATTAGGTATCTTAATTGCTGGAGCTGTCAATCATCTCTTATTTACATCGTGCTTGCACTGTTACTTATGATGAAAGCATTTGCGAAAGTGCAAAACTCGAGTTGTAATGACAAGATCACTGCATTCATACGCTCAACAGTCTGTCTTCGGCTACAATGCTCATTGCTGCAACCTTTCATGCGACAGGAGTAAATATAATACTATAATCAACACACTGCATCATTAGTTAATCTCAACTGCTGTAATAGTAAAAATGTAGTAACAGTTTTTGAGAGAGCTCCACATGTAATACTTATTTTATATGCAAAAATGTTAGCCAATCACATCAACGGGCGTTTCCACTGAAGTCTCACAGCAGACACACCCCTTCCAACTGAGCTTTCAAATCAGAAGGCTAAAATCAGGGTAGAAAATGTCCTTTTTTTCTGAATTATGACCATTTTTTATGTAAAAATCATACCAATATCACAAGTGCACCTTAGGAAGCATTATCAAATATTTAAAAAATGCAGTTCATGACCCCTTTAAGAACAGCATGTAAATATTTGACGACAGACCAACGATGAGCTCTAAGATTGTCAAGTAATGGTATGCTTATTTATAAGCCATTAGTCCTGGTGTCAAACTCAGTTCCTGGAGGGCCACAGCTCTGCACAGTTTAGATTCAACCCTAATTAAACACACCTGATCCAGCTAATCAAGTCCTTCAGGCTTATTTGAAAACTACACTGAACAAAATTATAAACGCAACACTTTTGTTTTTGCCCCCATTTTTCATGAGCTGAACTCAAAGATCTACGTCCTCATTGGGGTCTCGACCTGACTGCAATTCCTCGTCGTAACCGACTTGAGTGGTCAAATGATCACATTCGATGGCGTCTGGCACTTTGGAGAGGTGTTCTCTTCAGGGCCACACCAGGTACTGACTGGTTTTCGGGCCCCTCCGAACCCTCCAATACAGTAAAACTGCACATTTTAGAGTGGCCTTTTATTGTGGCCAGCCTAAAGCACACCTGTGCAATAATCATGCTGTCTAATCAGCATCTTGATATGCCACACCTGTGAGGTGGATGGATTACCTCTGCAAAGGAGAAGTGCTCACTAACACAGATTTAGACAGATTTGTGAACAATATTTGAGAGAAATAGGCCTTTTGTGTACATAGAAAAAGTCTTAGATCTTTGAGTTCAGCTCATGAAAAATGGGGGCAAAAACAAAAGTGTTGCGTTTATAATTTTGTTCAGTGTACAACTTGTCAACTCGTAAGTACGAACGTCCCAGGAGGACTTCAACGCAGCATTAGAGCAGGGTTGGAACTAAACTCTGCAGGGCTGCGGCCCTCCAGGAAATGAGTTTGACACCTAGTCAGAGCAATTTTGAACTACATTTTTTTTTTATTCTAGTGAAGAACTACACTACCCATAATCCTAAAGAGAGCTCCAATCACCATGGAATATATAGTAGCTGCAATTACCATGGAAACAGAATTTGGTGTAACCCCGGTGTCCTGGCCAAATTGCCGCCACTGGCCTTTGTCAATCATGGCCTCCTAATAATCCCCATCTACTTGTTTGGCTCTATGACTCTCTCTCCTCTCCACCTGTAGCTGGTGTGTGGTGAATGCACTGGCGCCGTTGTACTATGGCTGCTGTCGCATCATCCAGGTGGATGCTGCTGGTGGTGGTTGAGGAGATACCCCCCCATATAATTATAAAGCGCTTTGGGTGTACATCAATACACAATAAAAGTGCTATATAAATGCATCATTCATTCATTCTAGTCTGACTTCTTTTTCTCAGAATTGCAAGATATAAACTCACAATCGTGAATGATAAAATCCAATTCTGAGGGGAAAAAAAAAAATTCTAACAACTGCGACTTTATCACGCAGTTCTGACTATTATTTGCAATTGCGAGTTTATAACTCTGTATTTCTGAGAAAAAATCTGAATTGCGAGTTTATGTCGCAAAAGTCGCAATTACCTTTTATTTTTTAATTAGTGGCAGAAATGGGCTTCTACACTATTTATGCACATAGTCAATTACTAAAAAGTCAATTATAAAGTTGTAATATTGCAAACTTTTCAATGTAATATTTTCACTCTTGGCCAGAAAATATAATTGGCAGTTGAAACTGAAACCATAATGAAACACTTTTTAAGTGAGCTACATTGTTAAAATCGTACCTGAAATCCTCCACCACCTGCGGCTGAGTGTCGGCGGTCCCAGCGACAGACAGGGCTCTCTGTGGGTGAAAGACGGGATCGGTAGGTGGTGGTCTGTATGACGGGGCCTGAGGAAGCGAGGCGGCCCTCATTGCAAGGTGGCTCCGAGACACTGCAGTATGTCCTGAAAGCTTCTGTCCAGCCAAACTTGGAGGTCCGTGATCAACATCGAGTTTAGGCTGAGGTTCTGAGGGGTGATTGGAGCTGTTGGGGCTGGTTGGTTCAGCTAGCAACGTCATATGACCCCTTTTAAGTGGGTCAAAGACATTAAGATGTCCGCATCAAAAGAAATTTACAAAAGTGATTTTATGTCCATAGAAAGCACATTAAATGTAAGTAAAAATGTCTACTTTTAAGGTTTTTCAAGTAAGTTTTTGGAGAATAAAATGTAAAAATTTGGCCTAAATAATGTTACATTGTCATTCAGTGTAAAACAATATTTATGTAAAAATTCAAACAACATGCTTATTCTGACGTGTACATATTAAAATATATAAAAGAATAAGGGAGCTTATTAAATTTGATTGTGTTTTAAATGAGTAAAAAAATATTACTGACAAATGGGCAAAACCTAGGATAGACATTTTAAAAGTGTAAAATTACAACTAATTAGTATTTGGGGTGAAAGTAATTAGTCTTTTCATATGTCATAAATTGATTTTTGTTGTAAAATATGCCTGACAAGATTGTTACACTGAATGACATTTTAGTGGGTCTCTTCTGTAAATCGGAAAAATGTATGATATTTATTTTTTGCTCAGAAAAACAAAATTGCAATTAAATTAAACAGAAAATAGTTTAATTTTGGGGGGGAAAAACAACAACAATTTAAAGCAGTATTACACTTACTGTTTTTATGCTTAAACCCTTTTTCGTCTTTGACCCAAGTACATCTGAATGAAATTGTAAAATGTAATTTCATAATTTTATTGTCTTTGAAATACGGTTCAAGTGTACTTTAATGTAATTTCTACTGAAATGCCAAATATTATTTATATTTGTAATTACACATTTGTAATGAAAGAGTACATTTAAAATAAATTAATGTAACACTTTATTTAAGGTGTCCTTGTTATACGTTACATGTACTTACTATTATAATAATAGATACAATAATACAATAAAAAATAATAATACAATAAATTATGCATAATTACATGCAAGTAACCCTAACCCAAAAGTTAGGCCACTGATCAGTTTTGTTTTAATAACAGTTATATTGGACACCTAGCTTAGTGACATGCATTGCCTAGCTGTATTTTAACAAGTTAAATCTCTGTAATCCTTTTGGTTTGTTTTAAGTTAAAACAGGAACTCACCAAAACCACATGAGCAGTGTTGGGTTGTACTGACACTGGGTTGCATAATCTTAAGACTTTTGCCGTTGAAAAAGTCTTCAACAGATATCCTGTGACCAATATTAGAATTAAGTTTATTTTGTTTGTTTGTTTTAATTATTCTTATTTTCAGCATTACTGTGTTTAATTACTACATTAAAATATTCTGTATATGATTACACTATAATAACATAGACAAAACACTCGGTTAATATTTGATTGGTTGGCATGATAGCTGAAGAGTTAAACACAGAGAAGCTCTTCCAAGGTGATGGGTTTCATCTCTAGCTTAAGGGGAGTCTATTCTAGTTTGAAATGACTCTCTCTGAAATGACAGCTGACAGGCTGGACAAAGAACTAGACTAGACAACAGACACAGCTGTGAAAGTTCCTTACCCACAGGAAACACTAGTTGAGTCAATCATTTCAAAACTGTTCTTGATGTTTTTGTGATGCAAATACCAGAAACAGTATATCCATTGATATACTTATGACAGTTATGTTATGTTAAAAGGGTAAGTGACTGCTGTGTACTAGAAGTGAAAAACACCACTGTATGATTATCAGCATAAGTAAAACTTGAAAAACCTGTTGTACTGAAAAGTCATGTTCAAATACGAGTATCAAATATGAGTACGTTTTTGAGGAATGCTTACTTGTGCTTCTCTCAATCATCGTTACATTGCATTAAATATTTTGATCATCAAACTAAGCATTTAAATATCATCTTTTTAACAAATATTATTGATTCATACAACTGATATATTATGCATTTTATGTCAGGAGTCTGGTATAAAGATCTCATTAGAATTTAATTTTACTTCTTGGTCATATAAATATCAGCATTTGCACCAGATTGGATATGTTGCTAACTTTGGGCCTCTGCATAAAACTGGGGTGTTTTATAAATGTATCCATGATGTATCCAATTTTTTTTGCTAAAGGTCCAATTCTGTTCTATTTAAAAAAAAATTAAAAATCTGACTTTTATTTTATATGACAAGATTAAAATCACTAAAACCCTCCAGTATCGCTTTCAACAATACAAACGCCATTATTCAAAGCCATTAGTCTGAACCTATAGGCAGATTAAATATTGAGACAAATAGCCAACACCCCAATTTCAAATATTTATACAGAGTCATGTGTCTACTATGTTTCTGCACAGTTGACATGCTCTTCGCCTCGCTGTGCTCTGCTCTGCCTGCCTGACCGGCTTTCACTGTATTGACAAGATTGTTACAGTCAAGCACACGTCTAGAGGTATTTGCTTATCAGTGTGGCATAACACAAAGCATGTGACCAGCAGGAAAAAGAAAAGAGCCTAAAATATAGACTCCACCTAGAAATGACCCCGAACGCAATGAGTCATTGTGTATGTATTTGAATATGCATACACACATATACACCCACATCAATGGATGTGTGCAAAATTCTAGCAGTGAATCATTGTGTTTGCATTTGAATACATGTTTGTTTGTAAATAGATGGGCAGACAGACAGACAGACAGATAGACAGATAGACAGATAGATAGATAGATAGATGGATGCTTTTTAGGCATGCAGCTGTGCTGAGTGTTGAATATTTAAATGCATAATTAGAGAAGCTTGAAAAATTAAGACGTTTGTGGGGGTGGGTGGGATTCAATCACTTCATAGCAAATGAGTGAACTGTACTTGTTGTGTTGTCCATGGTAAAGTTTAATTAAAATCATTGCAAATTAGTTAAAATGGTGCACTGTTGTTTTATGAGTGGTTTTATATATGCAATGTAAATGTTCTAATACTTTTGAATCATAGTTATACACGTGAGGTTGGTGACTGAGAAATTGCTGAAGGTCACCCACAATAATGTGCATTATGACCTACTTCTGTGTCTGTGTGTGTTTTATTAGAGGACGAATGAAGAAGCTTTTGAACCATTCGATATCTGATAGCGCTAATTACATTGAAAGGCTGTCTGCGATGAATAAAGCCACAGTTACACAAATGCACATGCATTTCTCTCTTTCAAACACACACACACACACACACACACAAACTAACACACATTGATTAATGTCACACATTTATACATATAATAGAAATGATAAACAATAAATAAAACCCAGAAAACATGTAAACAATATCAGTATCAGTTAAACACCACTGAAGCAAAGACACAGCACTTGGGTCCAATCTAAATGTATATAACCACAGCTGTAATAATAATAACATAACATATAGGCTATTATATTATTCAATTATGTACGTGTTTGCACTTGTGCTCTATTGCATATTACAGTTCAACAGTTATAGTGTTTGCATCAGTCTATTTCTTACCCAATTTCCTTGTTCAAGACAGACTGAAAAGAACTGGTGGTATGTTGACAGGAAATATTATTGGCACCGATGGAAACCAGGCTCACTGATCAATATATTCGTGTTCAAACAGCTTCGCAGACATTAAAAAAGCTCATCATTATGCGACAATATTGTCCAAGCTGATAAATGTGAAAGCTCGTTCACTCAATAGCTAGATCCAATGTGTCACCTCAGTGTCCGTTCTTCCTGTTACATTACCGGCGAAGGACCTTGAGGTTTCGAAGGAGAAAATGAGTCGCTGAAGGCAGGTGCATTTCATCTGCGGATGTCGCGGTGTTCTTCGACGTGATTTGGTTTCGCCAAACAAACCGCAGCGCCTGCTGTCAATGACAGACGCGAACGGTCACTGTTGTCCTTCAGAACTGCTGCTGCTCGCGCTTCATTCTTACAGCAGCGCTGCTGGCGTTGCTTTCGTCAGCGATTTAATCACCGCGGACGTAACGCTCTTGTCACGTGGTATTCCGCTGAAGCGCCGCTATAGATATAATAGATCATATTTGAATTTCCACCAGAGCATGCGAGGTAGCCAAAAGGTTAAAGGTTTCGCATTTAGCATTGGTTTCATGCTCTGTTTCAGTGTAAATGATATGCCGCATGAGAACGCTTTGCCGTTGTCATGGCAATCAGCGGGTATCGTTTTTTTAAGCATACATTTAAGTATGCACATTTTCACATATTACGCTTTGAATGCCAAATGTGTATCTTTTTGTCAAATTTTGTTACATTATTACAATCATTACGTATGAAAACAACGTATTAAGTAGACTAAAATTATGTACAAAACAAAGCTGAGGGGGTCATAGCCATATCACCCTGCAGCCCAAAACTGGTTACCCACTGAATCTAAGCAGGATTGAGCCTGGTCAGAACCTGGATGGGAGACCTCCTGGGAAAACTAGGTTTCTGCTGGAAGAGGTGTTAGTGAGGCCAGTAGGGTGCTCACCTTGTGGTCTGTGTGGGTCCTAACACCCCAGTTTAGTGATGGGGACACTATACTGACAAAAAGCACCGTCTTTCGGATGAGATGTTAAACCGAGGTCCTGACTCTCTGTGGTCATTAAAAATCCATGGTCTCATTGTAGACCTTTGTACAAATCATTGTAGGCCTTGGTCATCTGGGCCTACAACGTCACCCTGGTCCTCCATGCCTATTGTGTTGCGCTGGTCCTCTATTCCTCCAGCTCTACCTGGGTCTCTACCCAGCCAAGTCCGACCCCCCTTTTTCATTCAAAAAGCTGTTTCACTCGGATATATGTCACGATAGAGAAGAAAAGATGATAATGCTGTTTCACGCTGACTTTAAGTGATTACATGCTTTATGCATTACATGCAGAAATGTTTGTAGAATCATTAACCATATGAGAAATAATAAACAGATTGTTTTAAATATTTTAGTAATTGCAGTTAACCGTTGATGGGCAGGTTGATGTTGTTTAAATTTCTGTTTGGTTGCTGTTGAACTTCATAATCCTATGATTCTTTTATGAATGCACCTGTCATACCATTAATTTGA